GAGTTTACAACTTAGTCTTCTACGTCTATACAAAACATACATGTTGATTCCATCTCCTAATTATTTTTAGAATTTACCTATTTCTTTCATTTCCAAGCTACTACTAAAATTCTATTTCTACCACTATCTCTTATCCAGAATTCTGATGCATTCTATTAATTCTTTCCTATCTAGGGGTGAAGAACCTGTAGCCTTAAGGCCATATGTGGCCTTCTAGGTCCTTAAGTGTGGCCTGTTGACTGAATCCAAACTTTACAGAGCAGAGAAAAGAAGTAGAGAAAGATGAAGCTTTTTTTTTGCCTCCTTTGGTGTTTAAAAAAGAACAATCTTGAAATCAGAAGGCCGCAGGTTCCCTACCGCTGCTGGGTGTCTCCCTTACCTATGGAATAAAATTCACACTTAGTTCAGAATGCCAGCCATCCTTTAAGGTTCACTTCAAAAGTAATTTATTGTTTAAAAACTTCTATACCATAGACATACTATATACACACTTGTAATAATTTAACAAACACCTCCTTGTCTTATTGGTGTATAAGTAACATTTTACTTATCTGATGGTAAATTCTTTAAGAGAAAGATAAAATCATAGTCATTCTTAAATTTCCACTCCTGATACAGTGATATGCACATAAGAGATGTTTAATATTTATTTATTACATTTAATTTTAAATCTATAACACAAAAGTTAGTGCTACAAATGTATTTGCTGGTGTGTATATATTTCATATGTATGAATACACTATTTAGGTGAGTTATTTTATTCAAATACCAGGTAGATATTAGCATCCTGACATACATGTTCTTTTAACAAGTAATTAATAATCGTTATTGTAAAGCATTTCAATGCCATCATAATCTTGTAGATGTGAATTTAATAAGAATATGAATAGTCATATCCTAAATTTAAAAGGAAAAATAAGGATAAAAAGCTTTCTGATTTTTCTGGAATGAAACATACAAAAGTAGATTGATAATATTATTAATGAACTTAGTTTTTTAATTCCACTTACTTACAAAGAAACCCATAATTACAGATGGAAATACCTTTGCAGCAGATACTAATGCTTCTTTATTTCTTTGCCTTTCTTCCTCCAAACATTTTTCCAATAATTCCTGTAAATGATAAGACAGTTGGAAAAACACTAAATGTATTATTTGAGGTAACAAAGCACTTTCTTTCCACACTATGAGCACGCTTAGAGTATTACCTTCTGTTCTTGAGATTGCTGAATCAAAGCTTCCTTTATTTTTTCTTTTAACAGTTCCTTCTCTGTATCTAGCATTTCCAGAAGCCTCTGATGCTGCAAGAAAAGACAACTGAATTGTGACTATGGCTCTGAGACAGATTATCTATTAATAAGAAGAAGAGCTGGTAGAATTCATTTGCCCAGAAGTACTGAAGTAGTTACTGGAGGAAACAATAAGTTTGCTAAAATGAAGGCTTAGGAGCCAAAAACATTAAAGTCACCTTTTTACAATTAGCTCCAAGTTCGACAAAGTATATGACATGAGACC